GCATTTCCCTAAATTTATGCAAAGGAAATCCAGCAACTGCTTCGCTTTATGCAACAAAATAGAGAAGCAATAAAATAGAAACAAGAATCAAAAAAGTAAATATTTTCTCTTCAATGAATTTCGTTTCTGGTTTATGAAAAAGGAGATGGAGATGATTGCAGAGGGGGAGACAACAGGGGCTGGGTTTTTGAGTGAAAAATTGAAGGAATCGCAGTTGTTCCCATCAATTTCATCTTGAGAAATTTACATTGAAAACTAAAAAAAAGAAAAAAGAAAAAAAGAGATCCAACAAAGCACTTACCGGAGATGATGAATTGCAGCAGCAAAGTTGGGTCGGCGGCGTGAGACAATTGCAAAAGGGGTGAAGAAGGAGATGGAGATGATTGCAGAGGGGGGTGGCAGCAGTGGCTGGATTTTTTAGTGAAAAATTGAAGGAATTGGAGGAGCGAGGAACAGGGGCTGGGGATTTTTGGAGAAAAGACGAACAGCAGGCTGTATATTTTGGGAGAAAACGACGTCGTTTGGTTGGGACTCCAATTTTTGTTTTTGGAGGTGGGACTGACCCGCACTTTCCCGATATATATATATATATAGAAAGAAATATAGCTCTAGGGCCTTCGAGAGGGACAAAAACTCAATTTGACAATGGGTATTTTGTACCTAGTAGCCGAGATGGATTCGGCAACTGCGGTTCCTCTCTAATCACTAGAGGAGATTCCGTTGATCCTACATTAGCCACACTCATCTTGGATTACTGATCTCTTATGGACAAATTTGCCTCTTGTGTGCTCTCCAGCACAGGCTAAACAAGGAACGACTATCATGGATTCTCTATCTCTTGGACTTTCGTTCATATTAATAAAAAAAAATAAAAAAATAGATATTTTAAAATAAAAAATAATAAAAAATTTTAATATTTTTAAATAAAAAATTAAAAATTTATCACCTTATTTAAAAACTGATAGAGTTCATTCCTTATAAGCACTTCTTCTCCTTAAAACCATGCCAAACATACCTTCCATCCACTTGGTAACTACGTTGAGCAAACGCTGCCTGGCTTTAGATCCACATTGAGATAATTTAATATAGGTTATAAATAACATAGGACTTGACATCAAAACATGATTATAACATTTTTTCTGAGATTCAAAGATAATTCAATGTTTATCAAAGAAGGGATAGCATCAGTGTAAGATCAGTTGGGGTACTATATATCCTCCTTGTAAATTTAAATCCCTTCTCACAATTACGCCTAAAAAAGAGAGAAAAAAAAAGGGAGTGGAGAGGGGGAGGGGGGCGAGAAATCAGATGGTAGCTGATTTCAGCATTCCTTAAACCTTTATTTTAATCATATTCCTCAAAAATATGGTGTTTTCTCATCTAGTTAGGATTTTATTATATTGTAAATTATATCATTGAAGTACTTAAACTTGATTTCTTAAGAAAAGTCAAAACTCCTACTTGTACTCTACATAGTTTTTTTTGGTAATTAATACCTTAAATTAATTTTTAATTCAGTCAACACTTTTTATTATTTAAAACCAATTAAAAACATAAAAATTAATGGTCGAATCCTTTATTTACATCTTAATTTTGTGGTTAAACCCCTTATTTGTACCGTTATTTTGTTGATGATTAAAATTTTTTTACAAGATTTAAATTATGAAAGATATTGATCAAAACAAAAATTAATCTAAGATATTGACTATAAATAAATAAATATATATATATATATATATAAAAGATGCAAATATGGGTTCCACCTTTAACAAATTCTATCCATCTTCAAAACCATCCAAACATTACCCAGAAAAAAAAAAAAATCGAAATATGGCTGGCCCGCTCCCACTAATTGACATTATTTAATAAGAATTTATTTTTTTTATCAATATGAAAATGAGAAGATAAGCTTTCATAACATTGTCCTATCCAAACAATATGCCAGCAAGATATATTACATAATTAAAATCTTCGATAGTATATCTCGGCATGTAATGCAATTAACCTTAATGGAAGAAGTGGAATACTGCGACTTGCGACCGTTCAAGATCTGTACTCCGCAGCCAAAAGGTAAAGAGGATTTCTTTTGTGCATTGTACTACCAGGGGCTGTATCAAAGTCCAGGTCTTCCTTCTTTATTCCAGAAGGCATTTTCCAATCAAATCTATAAAGAAGATTTGCAAGTGCAAGCTCCACTGTTGCAGCTCCCATATACATTCCTGGACAAATCCTCCTACCAGAACCAAATCGTATCAGTCCAAATTCTTGTCCTTTATAGTCAATGGAACTACCAATGAGTCTCTCAGGATAGAAATCTTCTGAGTTTTGTCCCCAAGCTTCAGTGTCCCTTCCTATTGCCCATGCGTTCACGTACACTAGGGTCTTGGCTGGAATTTTGTACCCACCTATGTTGCAGTCTTGAATGGTTTCTCGTGGTACTAGTAATGGAACTGTGCTTTGTAGTCTGAATGTCTCTTTAACCACAGCTTTTAAATATGGTAAATCTTGAATTTCATCTTCATTTAAAAATCCTTTCTTCCCAATTAAATTCCTTACTTCATCCTGAACTTTCTTCATTGCGGCTGGATATTTCATCAAGAAAGTCATAGCCCAAACCACTGTGTTAGCACCCGTCTCGGTTCCAGCAACAAATACATTCTGAAAATACAAAAGAGAACCCCTCAGTCCTTCATATATATATGAAGCAATCTTTATCAAATGAATCGAAAGAACTTATATTAATCAATCATTAGTTACCATGAGGATGGCTTTGATGTGATCAAAAGAGAGATGAAAGTAGACTTGGGATCCTTCATAATTTTGAGGAAAACATCGATTATGTCTTCTTGTTCTGGTTTTTGTCTCTTTGGATCAAGATGATCATCAATGAGTTGTTGATAGAAAGCATCCAATTCTTTGAAAACTTTTTCAAGGCGAGAAAGCCCTCCAGTGAGTCTATCCACCCATCTCATTAAAGGAAAATAGTCAGAGAAAAAGAAGGTTGTAAACATGGCTTGAGTTTCGCCAAGTAGTCCGTAGAACCTACTAATTTCACTTCCTTCACCTTCATATCTTTTTCCAAAGCCGACTCTACAGATAATGGAACTTGTAAGACACATCATGACTTTGCTAAGATTGATGGGTTTGGAAGTAGCTGTTGATTTCGATATCTTGCCAATCATCTTAGAAACTTCATCTTCTCGAATGGGACGAAGGAGTTCAGCCTTGTTAGCGCTAAAGAGCTGGAGGACGCAAATTTTCCTGATCTCCTTGTAATAAGAATTAAATGGTGAAAAAACCAAATCTAAGCCGTTGTAGGACAACTTTTGCTGACCAAGCAAATTAGGTCTGTTACAGAAGTCAAGATCTTGGGTTTTCATGACTTCTTTTGCCATTTTTGCTAAAGAAATTACTATGGTTTTCCGAAAACCAAGTCGGAGAGACATGCATGATAGAGCCATAGGTTTTAGAGAGTTGCAAAGATAAACGGGAAGAGATGAGTTATCAAGCTGGTGTAAGTTTCCAATCAAGGGAATGCTAGGAGGAGCTGGTGGAAGCAGACTGATTTGGCCGGTATAATTTCTCTGTTGGTGGATGATTAGAAAGCAGAAGAGAGGGAAAACCATGAGCAAGAAGATGAACAACATATTTGGTCTAATGGTTAGGATGCAAAATTGCAAGGGTAGATGCTTGTCATTTGTAGAGCGGGCTTATTTCCACAAATTCATAAGATTTTCTTTTTTAGAATAATAATTAGTATACATTCTAATCATAATATATTTATTAAAAAAATTATTTTTTAATTTAAAATTTAAAAAAAAATAATTTAAAAATATTAATTTACATACAACATATATAATTGATTAAATTAATTATATTTATATTATATTTTAATAATTATATCAAACAATTATAAAAAAAAATATAAACGATTTAAATAATTCAATAGTTATCTCTTTTTGTTAAAAATAAGAGGTTTTGATCTTGAACTGTATGGTACAAGAGTAGGGTAAGATAAATGATAGAAGATAATTACCTCTTATTATACAATCAAAATAAAAAAAAAAACAATTGTCAAAAAAATATCAATATCAATCATTTCCCTTTCTCTATTGTGTAGAGATGGTGGAGGGCATTGTCACTGATGAAAATGACTTCCAAACCGATTAGTCCAGCAATGACAATGCCCTCCACCACCCTTAACATAATAAAAAAATGAAGAATGATCGATACATTTTACAGCATATGGTCATGTAGGCACCACGTCCGTAGGATTTGATGATCAGCAAATTCATCATAAGATTTAGGTTTTGTATTGATGGGGGAGGTCATTGTCATCAAGGGAATGAATGACTCCCATTACCGATTAGTCCAGCAATGACAATGCCCTCCACCACCTTGAACACAATAAAAAAATGAAAAATGGTCGATACATTTTACAGTATATAGTGACGTCGGCACCCCGTCCGTAGCGTAGAGTTTTTTTTTTTTATTATTTCCCACCCGATATCCAAGGTTTCGCTCCAATTAATCCGGATCGACTCGGGTTGCACACTTGGAAATAGTAAGTGAATTTCTTAACAAAAGCTGCTACGTACACAAAATCTCAAATTCAAAATCTTACTGAAGTTAGAACAAACCATTTATCACTTGATCCAACTCTTTATTAGTTCTATAGCATAGAGTTTGATGATCAGCAAATTCATCATAAGATTTAGATTCTGTATTGATGGGGGAGGTCATCGTCATCAAGGAAATTAATGACTCCCATAACCGATATGACCCAGACGCATCACGTCGAGGTGGAGTTTGGTGGCATCGCTTTGCCCTTATCGAAAATAGTCCCAAAGGGCCGAATTAAAAGCCGCGTAGTTTAGTTTCTAGAGTACGTAATTTATTCCTCTCCTTGTTATCATTTTTCTCTTTTTAATTAAAATAAAAAAGGATTAAAACCAAAGAGCATGCCAGTGACTCAGTGAGTCTATCCACCCAATGTGTTCAAGGAAAGTAGTTAAACTTCAACGAGAACATAAATTTATGTATCTAATTTTTTTAATTTTTTTTATAAATTAAATCATTTATTTTATCTTACTTAAAAAAGAAAAAACCCTCCCCCTCCGGCCTCCCTTAAGAGTAAAACAATCCTTATGAAGACTTTGTCGAAACAAGCATAGGTCGCAGTTGTAACCCGCTCTATAAATCAAGCAGCTACCTTCGCAAGTTTGCATCTTGACCATTGCATCAAATATGTTGCTCATCTTCTTCCTCTTGGTTTTTCCTCTTTTCCTCTTTCTAATTATCCA